CAGCTGACACAGCAGGCAATAGGAACAGGAATAGGAATGCAAAGCCACAGTCTCCTGCAGGAAGAGGACAAGGGCTGCAAAGCAGAAAGCTTCCTGCACAGAGCACAAAGTACATCATTGTTCCACAGGCCTTGCCCACAATCCATCCATGAAATGAACTGCAGAAATGCAGCTCAGAAAAAGACAGCTCCAACTTGGATTAAATTAAATCTTTTGTGTGCCAAATGCTCCCATATGTTTTTAATAAATTCTGCTAACTCTTTGAACAAGCCCATGGAGGCTTCTAATTCTGGGTTTCTTGGGAGTCATACCTGTGATGGACCACTGCTCTTTCCCATAGAAAAACAGGGAACTGAATGGGAAGTGATCTCAGCTCTGGGCAGAGTTGGTGCAGTTTATTTCCCCCTTACAACAACCAGGATGTTGGACTGACTATCTTACGAGATGACCTGAAGTAAAGTTCACCAGTGAGAACTACAGGAGTATTCCCCAGTGTTCTGATGAGCTGATACAACTTGTGGCACCAAAATGAAATGGACACAAGAATTTACAAACCGTTCTTCAATGCTTCAGTCTTAAAGTAACTTCCTTGCCCCAGCTCTGTCATCCTGCTGATGTGTTCAGTCCATCTTTAATCAACAGTTATTATGAAGCATTTTTGCAATACTTCTCAAAGTATCTTACAGTCCTTCTCCAAGCTTGGAAGGCTTTAGCTTCAAAAGGAGTTGTATGAGGCAGAAGATACCCAGCATCCTGCAGGGAGAAGGACATCCTACAGTGCAGGCTGTAAGCTGCATTTCACCAGAACAAGTTATTTATCTTACCAACTCAGCTTACAACTTTGAGGAATTACTGCACTCCCAATATAACCTCTTACTACAGCTACAAGCTGCTCCCCTTTGGTTTTCTTCAGTCACCTCACATCAGTATTCCCAAAGGATCACCTTGCAGCAGACTGATTTAGTGGCATACAGGGGGAAACAGATGGGGCAAAGCTTCCTTTTCTTGTGCTGCAAGAAGCACAGCTTTGGTATGGCTCTCTGCTCCCCACTATAGCTGTGGGCTGAGCCAACCTGGTCACTACAGCTCTGGGAACAGGGGCAGGAAGGTGATCTGTCCTAGCAAATGGATGACATAGGTTAACCCTGGAGCTAGAGAGAGTGACAGAGGCCAGAATGGTATTTTATTCTTGAACTGCAGAGCTATCTCTTCCTTGTCAGTAGGATACTCCTTAGTCCTACCTCATGTATGGCTTAACATGAGTAAGAAAGACCAACAAGTTCTCAACCACCACTGAAACACCTTACTGCAAAAAGGGAGAATTCATGCATGCCTGTAACCGTATGATCAAAGCCATCAGCATGGTGCCCAGCTTCAGGCCAAAAGCCACAGTAAAGATTTCAAGCAAAAATGGACAATCCTGGAAGTGTTACTATCCACAATGACTGAAATTGAGCATTTATCATGGTTGCATCTTCCACTTTCCCACTCATGCTCTGGTCACCACTGTAATCTATTGCATAGTTCAAACCTGAGTATTGCCAACAAGCACACCCTATCATTCTTTCTTTCATTTACTCATGCAGAAAGCGACAGGAGAGCTCTGACTACCAGGACAGTCCATTTTTTAAACAGTGTTTAAAAGTTCAGAAATCAGCTCAGTCTCACGGCTGTGTTGACAGCCCTGAGGCAATGCAGGAAGGATGTCAACAATCAATACAATTACTCAGAGAATTTCAGCTTCTTGTTGATTTCTCCTAAGCCATGTTTGTCTTCTGATGGCTGCAAGGTGAAGTGATGCCTAGGCATGTCATGCTAGAACAAACATCTAATTTATCCAACCCTGTGTTATTGGTATATAAAGTACCAAGAACTTGAAGAAAATTGCCTGAAGTTACACTAGGGACAATTAAAAATTCCTACAACCTAACTCTCTTCCTAGTCCTTTGGGTCATCGGTTTACCAAATAAAATGCATAAATGAAATAAAATTATTTTGGAAACTGCTTCTTTCACTATGTACATAAGTATCACATACAACTTTAATGTGACCAACCTGTTTAGGTGGAAACCTAGCCATACATTTTACTAAGAGAGTTCCATAAAAAAACAAAGCTTAGCTTTGGAAAGGAACTATTTTGAAATGGAATTCCCACAGTTAATTCCAAAAATTTAGCACCTAGTTTTTCAAAACAGTGCTGCTTGCAACTCCACTGAATTGCTTACTGTTGTGCTTGACTGAATGAAGGGGATCTCTTGACAGTCAGTAAAAAACCAAAATGTTCAGTTCTCCATTTGAAATAACTGATATTTTAATGAAATAACCCCAAATTTTGTACACTGATTTCACAGTACTCTATTCATTAAATCCAGCCCATATGTTGCAGCCAAGAGTTGGTCAACACAGTGGTTTCAAACTCAGAACCAAAAAAGGCATTGGCACGAGATGCAGAAGAAGAGTTCCATTATTTAAGAGGAAGACAGAGGCTTTACTTATAATATCAGTACAGTGGGAAAGAAATGTTGTGCAGCTCTCTAGAACTGAACAATGTGAACAGAGGCTGCTGAATATATGTATACAGCTACCAAATACTCACTAGTCAGGAAGACAGAATGTTAAAAATACTAAAGTGTGCAAGAAGATTTAGTAATAGTCTGAGCTTGGGGAGAATGAGAAGCAAACCATGTGCACCCACTCACCTCAAAACCAGCATTTAGCTTCCTGACAGCTACTAGATCCGTGTGAAAACCTCACAGAGAGCAGGAAGGTTTCAGGCACAGCAAAGTTACCATATGAGATTTAACCTCTTCTACTCTTTAATCAGGAGGATGATAAAGGCAGGATGCTGAGGAGCACACAGAGCTGGACAAGGCTGCCCTCTACTGATACTGAATTCCAGTTCTGTCAGTCACTTACCGCTGCAGGAGCATTCACCACCGAAAGGTTGTAACCATAAAGAAAAGATGACCCAAAAGCACCAGTTAAAGAGGCTGCTATAAGACTCACGGACCAATTCTGAAAGGCAAAGAAAAGATGCAGCCATTGTTAGTATTCTTTATATTAACCTACCTCAGGTTTTAAATACCCCTTATGCTATCTTGCATGGCTCCTGCAGGCAGATGTCCTTGCTGCAGAATAGTGGCCAGAAACAATTCCCCACGCTCAGTATGGGAAGCAGTAAATCTAAGTGACAGCAGTTAACCTGTACCTCAGTTAACATGCACCAAGACATAAATGAACGTTTGAACTTTTTCAGTCTCACAGAGTTTTGCTGCAAGCATCCCATCAACCCCTGCACAAAAAGTGGAGGAAATGGAGTCTCAGGAAAGGAAATAGTTGATTATGTACCACCAGCACAGCACAGCAAGGAGTGATTTATATGTGATGTAATAGGTCTGTGGTTAGATCTGACTTGGGTGAGAACTCATGAGATAGTGTGTCCCCCACTCCCATAAGGATTAGAAAAATTGTGACAAACTAGGTTTTGTGACCCAAATGCAAGTGTCCTTGCTGCCACACACACTTCCCAATGGAGATGCATTTGCCTATTGTCCCAACAACAGACCTGTGCCTCTCCCTCCTCAGGTCTCCTCCATCCTCCTCAGCCTGTTTTTAACCCACCTCTGCAAACAATTTCTTCATTTTTCTTGAATGAAAGGTAGAACTGCTCTGACTTGAGACATTTTTTAATTCAAGGTCTTTTCCACTTTCCCAATATTACTTTCTGCCACTCAGTTCTCCTGCTGGATTACAGGCAGTGGCAGAAGAAACCACTGCTAGCCATTCCCAAGAGATATTAAAGTTAGTGTTTTGGTGCCTGGTCAGTTGTGAAGTCTTTTTGTAGCTCATGGAAGACAACTCTGAATATGTTAAAATGGATTGGCTTTTTAACGTGATTTCAGTTACAAAAACAACTGTGACAAGAACCTAGAGTTTCAGGAACAGCTCCCTGCCACTTATGCCCAGCCTCATCATTCACTGAAACCTCAATCCTTTCAAAAGGACAAAGACATCCTTAAGCAGACCTAGGAACCTCAGCTTCAGCTATATCACTCACAACAGGTTAATGAATCAATGCATTCTGTCAACTGCAGAAAGTTACATATTCTTTTTAGAAAACAAAGATCTGGAACATGAACCAGGTTTGTGTAGCTAGCACATGGCATAGCAGCAATGACAGAGGACTGGGACGGGCTCCACCAGCCTCGAGGGCACAGTAGGGCAAGCAAACACACCATGGCTATTATCTTGTGACAGAGGTCACGTTCCACACTGTCACTGCAGGCTCACTGTGACCTGTCAAGAAGGGATGAGATCCCCAGGTGCCAGGGACCACAGCATACAGCCATGTATATGTTGTACATATGAGGTTTGCCAGCTTGTACCTGCCACTTCTGAGGACTCAGTATGCACCCTGCAGGACAGCTGATTGTTTTTAACTTCTTACATATGATGTGGCAACTTTTTAAGAGATTACACAGTTCATTAACCAGCCTGTCAGAGGGAAGTGTGCAGGGGGTGAACAGCCTTGTGTAAGAAATAAATTTCATTGGGATCACTACAGAGCCAAATACAATTTCTTATTATTAGCCAGCTCATTAAATCCAACCTGCTACACACACATAGAACTTTGCACCATTATTTTGGTAACAAAATGTAGAAACTTTTGGCATATGGCTTTATTTATCTTTAGGTGATAATCCTTCATAGTAGGTGTTTATTATTTCTCTGCTATGCACAAGCATTCCTACACTTCAGGAGAAATTGCCAGTACTCTGAATGAATGATGCTGGGGAGAATATTCCTGGTTGTCTACCAGGCTGCTCTAAAAGGGTTCACAAAAGATGTGTGAGTTCACAAGTGTAATGCAGTAATCCTAATGCAATATTGCTAAACAGTTCTACTCCAACAACCTCAGACCCTCCAGAAAAATCCTGCAAGCAAAATGATTTGGAACACTGTGGCTTGACACAAACATATAACCTAGTATTTAGAAAACACCAATGAATGCTTAAACCTTTCAGCATGGGCAAATTATATGCACATGTCATTGTAAGGAATTAAAGAATACCTTGCCTGTCCAAACACTGTTAAGGCCACAAAAGGGATTTGCTCTAAGACACGCTAGCCACCATTTTAAGATAAGCACAAAAGGGATAAATTTGTGCTAATTCCAGGCCTGATGAAGGAGAGATCTGGTTAGCACATGCTGATTAATGTACCTGAACAAAAATTCCCACTGTGGCAAACTGCATATACATACCACTGGTCAAAGATCCGCCGAGTTTTGACATCAGACAGGTAGTATCTGTGACCACCAAACCCCAACCACAAGGAAGCATGCAAATGACGGCACACCCATCCTCAATTCGTATTCAAATTAGGAATGTGCCTCCATGGATATCTGGAACTTGGACTGTATAAATGTGGCACCCCCAGATGAGCAACCTGGGACCATGGCCACAAGAAGAATTACTCAGGACCTCCACCATAGAGAAGGTGAAGATGGACCAACAGGATGCTGCTGGATCCACAGGTGGTGACTCTCTCTCCCTCTCCCTCCCCTCACTCTCACTCTCTTTCCCCCTGCTCTTTCCTATATCTTTCTATCTCTCTACTTCACATTTATAATTATAATTAAATAAACCCCATATAATTATATTATTAACATATTATTGACTTCGGCATATGGTCTCATTTGCACCTTAATTTGGGCAAAGCACCTCTCACTAAGTGGATCCTAACAGTCGCTAAGTGGAAGATAATGCAGAGCACATCACAGAAGTGCTTAGAAAACTTCACATCCATAATATTTTCAACTGTTGCAAACAGCTGTGTTTAGAACTAACTTCAACAAGATGAATTTTTCAATTATACAGCCTGCTGAAGAAAACCTCAGACTCACTCAACTCAGAGGATTTGGAACTTGGAACATGAACTTCAGC